ACATTAACAGCTATGTTTATCGTGATCACCACTATCAATTCTACAGAGTGGAGTGCACATACTGAGGGAGTGTGGAAGGAAACGTATTGTGCTGAGTGGGGGCAGAGCTTTTGCAGGCAGGCAGAAGGTCCAAAGAAGACGATAACCAGGGTGGCTTTGGGACAGGACTGGACAAACAAGGGCAGTTCATATAGAACGTGGGGCTTCCAGATCCTGGTCCAAAAATCAGCACCACTGTTCAACCCACCTTTCCCATCCTCTTCCATCATTCAGCCCACTCATCACCTGAGCAGGCAGAGCTACACCTCATGCCCGCTCTTACCCAGTGGAGGCCCAAACACCCCTGCCCAACACCACACACTTATACTTTTCTTGAGCCACTTTAAGTGTCTGGTGACTCTAGACCTTTAATGTCTCTCACCTCTTGGGTTCCCAAAGGTCAAAGCCTCATACGGTCTTGCAGCCTCCAGCCACTCCCTCCCTGTACTCATTTGCTGGCTGCTGGCTGCAGCTAAGGTGCTGGGAAGAAAGCTCAGACGGAATAACCTCCAGGCCACCAGTCCCACCGCCTGAACTGGGGCTTCATTAGCAGAGCTAGTCTTGAACCAGGTTGCAAATTCCAGGGCCTTCTATTCCTCCTTTCCTCTCACCATCGACCCGTGCCAGGCAGCCAACCTCGGCAAGTTCCTCTGCTTTAAAGATTCTCAACTTTCCCCAGCTGGACTGTCCCAGGTACAGACTCTGGGAGCTGCAGAAGGGGATCCTAATAGTCCTTCCCTGGGCACGGCCCTAGATTTTCTCTCTTGCAATTTTCCAATAGGCTGTGAAGCCACAGGCTTCCTCTGTTGAGTTTCTATCCGTCCTTCAAAATCCATCTCCAATCTGCCTGTTGAAACCAACCCCCCTCGGATCACCAAGCAACATGCTGCCTCTCTATTACTTGGGTGGGAATGAGCTTCCTCCCCTTCTATCCACTATGCTCCTCATAAGTGAACCACAGGCTCCCTAAGAACCACAGGCTCCATAAGAACCGCAGGCTCCCTAAGAACAGAGAGCAAACCTCATGCATTTCTGTTATCCCTACAGCTCCCTGCTCAGGACCTAGCGCTCTGGAGTTGCTCTGTGTATGTGAGGCTGGGTTGAATCTGGACACATAACCAAAACTGGCTCAGGGTAGTTATTAAATGCTCCACCCTGCTGGCCATGTCTCCAACAAGGGAAGTCCTCACATGGTGGCATGGTGGAGGGGCACTATCTTTGAAGGAAACCACGGTGTACTGTGGACCAGCTATGGGAGTCCTGTGTTTCCTCATCTGAACAAGAGGGGCAGCAAGCCCCACCCTACGGGCTGTTTGGAGAAGTATGAGATGACACAGGTGTCCAGTATGCACCTGGCATATAATAATTGCTCAGTGGGCAACCAGACTTTTAAAACAAGCCATGCACCCTTGCTGGTTCCCTTTCCTCACCTCCCAGTCAACCTTAATCCACAGCAATCTGGCTTCCACCCGTGAGACTGCTCCTGCCAAGAAGGCCAAGGAGACTTCTTCCTGTCTCCTCCTACCACTCCACGCCTTCTCAACTCCTCTCCCTCCAAGAATTCCTTAAACTCATATTCCAAAGGAAAGGCCTCTTCTTTCCTCCCCAAGCATTTTCTGTAGGCAGTGCCCTCCCTCCCCTGGGCTTCAGCTGCATGAATTTATAGACTTACTTTTCCAGCCACCCCGGCATCTCCTCTCTGCTGCAGAGCCACACAGACCAGAGTGCTCCAGACAGCTCCCCTGAACCTATTGGGCCCCTCAAACTCTACTCACCCCAAGCAGAACTTACCTTCTCCGATCTCCTCAATTTCAGGCCGCCTCACTCCCCCTCCCTGTCCATTTTAGTAGATGCCTCCCCCGCAACACAAAATCCTCTGTATGAGTTTTCTATTGCTCCTGTAATAAGCTGCCCAAACCACAGCGGCTTAAAATAACACACATGTATTACCTGACAATTCTAGAGGTCAGAAGTCCTAAAAGCAAGGTGTTGGCAGGACCGCATTCCTTCGAGAAGCTCTAGGAATGAATGCGTGTCTTTGCCTTCTCTGGCTTCCAGAAACTGCCTGCATCCTTTCACTCCTGGCTCCTTCCTCTATGCTGAAGGCCAGCACAGCAGTATCTTCCAATTTCTTTCTCTCTGACTTTGAACCTCCCACCTCCCTCTTATTAAGACATCTGTGATTACACTGGGCCCACCCAGATAATCCAAGATCTTCACTTCCATCTCCAGATCCTTAATCACATCTGCAAAAACTCCCTTCTGCCATGAAGATAATATTGATAAATTCTAGGGATTAGGACAGGGACATTTTTCGGGGGCTGCTATGTGGCCTGCTATACCTAACTACCTCCATCTGTTCTAATCCTCTAGGCTAATCCTGTAGGGACAGAAAAGAGGCTGGTCCACCTCCTTTTTCATTCAGCGTCTCCCTGTGAACCCTGTGAGGTGATGTAAAAGGTTAGGGAGCATGTCTTATCTCTACACTCAAGCACTTCAGCAGAACCCCTCCCTCCCGCTGGCTCTTTGAGGATGCTAAAGTCTTTCTAATGAACAGACTCTGTTAACCACCCCCACACCCCCAAATCCCCCCCAACCTCCCCACCACCACCCACTTCACTCTTACCTTTCTCCCCCTCTTCTGATCTTATCTGTAACCAAACTTCAAGGAAATGACTATGCCTGGCCACCTCCATGCTCATCAGGTTCCACCTCTATCACCCTCCAGCAGGGTTTCTGCAGATAACTCTTTGTTATGTGCATTGTAAAATGTTTACAGTAATCCTGGTTTCTGCCTCCTAGATGCCAGCAGCTTACCCCTACTGAGCTGTGACATTGGGCAATGCCTGGAGACAGGAGGCAGGGCTGCAAAATTGCCTCAGGTTGAGACCTACTGACTTCTACAATTGCCTCGGGTTGAGACCCACTGACTTCTACTTCTTGCTAAAGTCACCAATGGCTTCCCTAGTAGTAATTCCAAGGGACACTTTTCAGTCCCTCTCCTGGTTGGTTTCTCAGCAGCATTTGGCACTGACAGCCATTGTGGCCCTTGAGAGCCTCTCTTCTTCCTTGACTTCCAGGTCACCCACTCTCCTGGTTCCCCTCCGACCTCTCTGGCTGGAAACCTTCTCTGTCTCCTTTGCAGGATCAAGCCCCTCTTCTAGACCATGAACTGCTAAAGTCCCTCAAAGTTTGGTCACAGGCCTGTCCACCTCTCACTCAGCACATTCTTCCTAGGTTCTGCGCTCCACAGCCCCGCCCCATTGACCACACATGCACAGGTGACTCGCTAACAACATCTCCGAGCCTCCTCCCCAAGCTTCAGACCCATATATCCAACTGCCTACTTGACATCACCACTTGGATATCCTGGTGTTGCTCCAAACTCATCAAGTCCAAAACTCAAATCATGGTCTTTCCCTCAACCCAGTCCCCTCCCAGCCTCCTCCATTTCTCAGAGAAAGACACGGTTAACGACCTGTTGGGAGACTGCGATGTCCTTGATACCTCCTGCTCCTTTCCTTAGGCCAGTTAGTCTATTTCTAAGTCAGAGCTCTCCTCTCTGACACAGTTCACAAAGCAGTTCACTTGCCTCCATGTCTCTGTCCCTGCCCTAGCTCAGTCTTCCACCATTGCTGACTTACAGAACTCTCACACGCTCTACCTGGGAAAGGTGTGTCGGTACCCATCCCTGACCAGTGCCCCTGAGCCTAATCGGTTCTCCAGGCTGCAGCCAAAGTCACCTTTTCAAAACGTAAATGTGGCCGAGTCACTCCCCCCTTTCCCGCTACACTGATAAAATAAAAGAACAGAAGTCCTAATTTGGTCCACTGAGTCCTACGTAATCATGCCTCCATCTTCTCCTCCAGCCCCTGTGCGTGCTGCCCTCCAGGCACACTGACCTTCATCCAGTGGCTCAGATGCGCCACGCTCTCCTGCCACAGGGCCTTTGCCCTTGCTGTTCCAGGCTTCTGGAGGCCCCTCTCCAATCTTCACCCAGTAGCCATTCACCTCCTTCAATCACAGCTCAACTAGCAGGAAGCCTTCTCCGAACTCTGCCCATCTCACCTCCCCTGCTTGTGCACTTTCTCCCAGCCTCGCTGTTTCCATCACCCTCAGATTTATAATTTGACATGGGTTTGTCTTAGTCTTTGATTAAGTCTGTCTTCCCCACAGAGAACTCCATGAGGGCAGGATTTATCTCATTGTCTTATCTGGCCCACCACTGTATGCCCAGGGCCAGCACAGTGCCTGGCACAAAGGAGACGCTCAAGAGGTGTTTTTGTAGAACACTTTTCTCTATTGCCCCATGCTCCCCTATCTCTGCTCAGTAGCTGAAGCTTGACTCCTTAAACCTGCTTAGGTAACCCTTCCTCCTCATGCCTCTGAAAACCCCTCTTCCTCATCTTTGCACCCCATGGATCAATAGTACGCTGTGTTACAAATTGATATCGCATGCGTACCTGCTTGTTCAATGCCTGTCTTTCCACCGGACCATCTGCTCCCTGAGGGCAGGAACCATGTCTGCCTTGTTGGAGGGTTTACTCTGGGCACCTAGCCCAGAGCCTGGCATTACTACTTTGGAAGTGGGAAGTCATGTTCTGCATCCCCACAGGCCAGCTCCGAGTCACCCACTCTGGAAGACCAGTTGATTCAACGCCGCCCAATGGTCCATAGGACACACACATGAGGATTCATGGGGAAATTGTCCTGAGTTCTGCCTGGTGATTTCCTGATCTGCTGACTACTGCCAGGTGGGTAGTGGTCTCAGCATTGCCCTTGGACACCAAGCATTGTGGCCACTCAGCCGGGGCCACAGACAGCAAGATCCATCAACCACAGGTCCAGAAGCGGTGACAGAAAAGCTCTGGGACCAGGCTGGGCCAGTATGGCTCCCCCTGCTGGTTTCCTTCCATGTTCCTTGGCAACCTCTCCTACGGAACAGCCCAAGGCACACTCACCAGCCAGGAGAAGAAGCCAGCCGATTTGTCCTGGGTGGAGATCTGCCCCTCATAGGGGCCGAAGATGTGGCCCTTGGGGATGACCTCATTTACACATCGCACGTCACTCTCTCCACTGGTGTCCTTGACCACCTCCATGCCCTGTGGGATGGTGAGTGCCGCCCTGTCTGGGATGCCCACGGGCACTGGCGTGTCAGACACAAACACTGGGGGGCCATGGTTCGGGCATTCATCCACGAAGTACTCCTGGCAGGACTCGCAGACTGGAGGGATGGAAGGAGAAGGGAGGGTCTCAGTTGTTGCAGGGCGGTAGGACCCCCATGGGGGAGGCAGATGGGGTGACAGGAGGCCCACCAGTGGAGGCCAGCTGCAGGCCCCAGGGTTATCAGTAGCAATAACCTATACTCTCCCCGGGGGCTCCAAGAACAGGCCTGCCTATGTCAAGGGAGCCATCAGCTCCCTTTGTGTCAAGTTTAAAAAATTAGAAGGAAGAGTACAGCTTTGGAGTCCAAGTGCAACTGTACTACCTTGGGCCGCGGGACCTGAGGCGGGATACTTAACCCTCATCAAGATTCAGTGTTGTATCTGGAAAATGGGGCCAACAATGGCCACCTGGGTGGCTAATGATGATGACTACCCAAGGCCTGGACCCGGACTGGGTACATCGCAGGTGAGGACCTATCATAGTAGCATTTCTGTGAATTCCCTAGCCAGGAACGGGGCAATGGGGGTGAAGGGAGGAACAGCCCAGAAGCCCGAGCTCCACTTACACCAGAAGTCCACTTGCTGAAAGCTTTTGGGCATGATGAGGTCACGCTTCCCCTTCAGTTTCCTGGGCTCAACTTCCATGGCAGAGGAGTCTGGTCTCCTAGAGCTGGCCAGGACAGAGGCCCACAAAGAAAGCAAAGAAGCCATCAGAGAGTGAGACCCCAGTGGGGACAAAAGCTGGGGACCTGGCCAAGAGGCCAAGAAGATGTGGGGTGGGCATAGGAGTACCAGCCAGCCTGCTGTTCAGTCCAGGAGGTGGTAGAAAAACTGGAAGATTGAGATGGGCGCACACACCTCCCTAGGCCACTGCTTGGGTTTTTCTAGAGCCTGCGCCCAAGAGCTGCCGGGAGCAGGGTTAGGGAAGGTGGGCAGGGAGTGAGAACGTTTCCCAGGGTTCCCAACCAACCCAGCCCAGGCACACCCCACTCCCTCTTCTCCCACTCCAGTTCCCACACAGGGGCCTCACCAGGGCTGGCCATACTCCTGGTCACGGAGTGGTGAGCAGACCTCTGTCTTCACTACCGTCACCATATCCCCCACAGCTGCCTTGGTCTGGGCCAAGCACTCCTTCATGTTCTCGGTCATTCTGTCCTGGGTCGCAGGAGGTGGGACCAGCACAGGAAGAAGATCAAAGAAACAGGGGAAGAGGGATGAGTGGCGGAGAGGGCAAGTGGGGGTCTCGCGGAGTCTAGTTACCCTCCCTGCCATCCCCAGAGGAAGCGCTTGAGAACACAGACAACAAAAACAGCTGTAGCCGGGCCAAGAGGAAATGCCATTTCTACGCGGGGCTGGTCCTGGGGACGACTGGAGCCACCAGCCCCATGGGTCAGAGGCCTAGGGCAGCTCAGGCCAGCAGGCCATGCTGGGAAGTACAGCCTGGACCCCCAGACCAAAGGGCAAGGGGCAGGAGGATCCCACAAGAGCCTGGACACAAAACTGCAAAGAGGAAGGGAGGGGGGACAACGCAAGCCCAACTGGAACCAAGGGGTAGTGGGTGGACCAATTGGACCCTCAACGCCTGGCAGGGCAGCCCCTCACCCTGGGACTGCCGGGAGCACAGCCAGGCCCCTCTGCCAGCTCAGAGCAGGTACAGGCAGGGCCTGGGGGTGCTGGCGCGGCCAGCCAGGGCTCCAAGCCCCACCCCACTCTTTCTAGGGGACACTCCCCAGCCCGCTGCTTACCGCCCTCCACCACCACGCTGGGCTTCAGCCCCTCCCTCGGCACCCCGGGGTCCTCATGCCAAGCCCGGGGACACTCTTCGGGGCCAGGGTGGCACGCAGCTGGGGCTGGGACCTTGCTGGGCCCCGGGACTGGGCGAGCGGCCTGTGTGACTCACTACCCGGGGCCCCGCTGGCCACACCCCTGCTCCTCGGCTAATCAGCCCCCTGCTCCCCACCGGGGCCCCAAAGCCGGCAGCGGCGACTGGGAGGGGTGTGGGGAAACGTGACGGCCTGCCCCCTCCTCCGAGCCGGCGGGGCCGGGGGCGCGCTTAGGGGAAGCGGAGGCCGCCAGGTCTGGGCCGCGCCGCCCCCTGCCCGGTGGCCGCCCCGTCGCAGGACGGTGTGCGCTGCGGCCAAGGCCCAGAGCTGCGCGGGCTGGCTCTCCCCCTCTCGCCAGCCTTCCCGGCGGGGAGCTCCCTGCCCGGCCTGGCCCAGCCCTGCCCAGCGCCCGCCCCCCGCCCGCCGGGCCCGGCATTCCTTGCGGGGGCATGTGGCTTCTTGCCGGCCCCGGGGGCACGCAGTTGGCTGGCGGCCGGGAGGGGGGCGCGCGGGGAGCGGGAGGACGCGGGCGCCCGGGCGGGGCGGCGGGAGGGGGTGCCACGGGGGGCCGCTCCAGGCCGGCCAGTGGACGCATTCCAGGGCCTCCCATGGGGCCCGACGCGCACTGGGCCCAGGGGGCGCCTGGGCTGGGCGACAGCGCCGGGCCCCGTGGTGTCGCAGCAGGCGGCCCATGGCGTCCCCAGCCTCCGAGCTGCCTCGGCTTGGCAGCGACAACGGGGCCTGCGCTGCCACTGGTGCAAACACCGGACACCCGCTCGCTCAGCCGCGGCCGCACCTGCACCGCCCAGGGCAAGATCAGGGCCGCCTGCCGTTCTCCTACCTCCTGGATGTGTTATGCCAGGGGATCCCCGCTGGGTGCTCGGTGGACCTCACAGCCTGTGGGATGGCCCCTCGCCACCTGTGAGGGCGCAGGACTTGGGGCCTGAACGATGTCAAGCGACTTGCCCAAGGTCATGCAGACCGTTCCCAGTGGCTGCTCAGTAAACTGGAAACTGGATGAACCCCCGGATTCAAGTGTTTCAGGTTGGCTTTGCCATGCAGTATCCTCAGCCCAGTCCTTTTTTGGAACAATCGCTGGGATCACCCTTAAGTGGGTTCAGGCCTCAGCTCACAAGTCCAGCAGTCAGGTGGGAGCAACGCCCTATGGATTTGTGAAAGGATCCCTGAACACCGCTGCCCTAAGGAGCTCTCATTGGCATGGGCAGTACCCCCCACCATACATCCTGGGGCAGAGCCTCAGTGGTTAGGTGCCTGGGCACTGGACAGGCACTTCCTGAGTTCAAATCCCACTGATGGGTGGTATGACCCTGGGCAGGTGTTATGGGCCCTGCTCCCCTTCATTTGTTGAAGCCCTCAGCCCCAATGCATTTGTATTTGCAGATGGGGCTGTGAGGAGGTGATCAAGATTAACTGAGGCTATAAGGGTTAGGTGCCCTTATAAGGAGAGGAAGAGACACCAGGGCCCTCTCCACCATGAGGTTACATCCGGAAGGCAGCCATCCACAAGGCGGAGCGCCACCACCAGGAACCAATAGGTTGGCATTCTGATCTTGGACTCCCCAAGCGCTAAAACCGTGAAAAATAGATGGCTGTTTTTTAAGCGCCCCCGTCTACGGTATTTTGTCATGGCAGCCTGAGATGACTAATACAGCAGGTTATCTAACTTCTCTGTGTTCTCATTTCTTCATCTAGAAAATGTGGCTAATAATAGATTCTATCACAGACATAGCTGTATTCCATGGACACAGATGAGTGTGGAGGGGCCAGGCACAGTCTCTGCACATCCCACTAAAGAATGCTGATCAGGAAGATGAGCGCTAGTGACATCATTAAGGGGTAGCTTTGAATTCTCCCCATTGGCTTGGATTTATTTTTTTTTAAGTCAGTCATTTGGAAACTCATGCTTTATTGGAATGGACTACTGAGGACTGCTTTGCATGGGGCTCCCTTACTCTGGCCCCTCTGCCCTCCGCAGGCCCCACCTGTATGCCATTCTCCATCTGGCCACAGGACCTGTGAAAGTGCTGTGTCCTCACCTGCAGAACACCTGGGGACTCCTACCCAGCCTTCAGACCTCACTGCCCCCCTCCAACTGCCACCAAAAACACCCTCTCCTAGCCCCATGTCACACTCCATGGCAGTGGTCACACATAGAACTGTCTTTTGTTAGCAGGATTACTTGATTAATATCTGTTTCCCTTAATAGACTGTAAGCTCCCCGAGGGCAGGGTGCAGGCCACCATTGAGCTGCCAGTACCTGTAACAGTCCCTGGCACCAGGGCCAAGACTAGGGAAAGACAGGCCAGGCACCAGGAGGATTTCACTCTCAGGGTCATACGCTTGCAGGCCTGGCACCTAAGAGTGAGGACCTCTTTCAGTTTTGCACCTGAGAACCTTGCTTGGCTGACTTTCTGCCTTGTCCAGCACACAGCATATTCTCAGTAAATATTCCCCAAATGTCCCCCTTCATATCTCACTGGCCCCTCTGATACATCCTACTGGTCCCACTGGGAATCCCAACTCTGAAAGAGACCTCGGCAGGAAAAACAGGGTGGGGGTTTGATTTCCTATGGACCTCTCTTCCAGGAATCTCTGTGGGGCAGAGCAGGTGGTAAGAGATGCTGGCAGGGTGGGCACCGAAGGGTGTGGAGGCGCACTGGGGAGTAGGATAGAATTAGACTCATGAGACTCAGTGCCTGATTCTGACAATCAGTTGAGGGGGATAAGCTGTGCGGCCATGGCACGTCACTTACACTCCAGGGCCTTAGTGTCTTCTTTGGCAAAATGGAAATACTCATACTTGCCAGGTGGAGGTGGTCCCCATTAGGAATAAATGAGGAGGGGTTTGGAGGGAGAATAGTAAGAGAATAAAGGATGGAGGGTAAGAGAGGGAGAGGAGAGGAGAGGAAGAAGAAAAGAGAAGATGGAGAGGGGAAGGGAGATTTAAAGAGCAGGACCAAGGCATAAAAACGTTTTCCTAAGTCTTAAATTATTCCCAGCAAATCACCCCCTATGGGCAGAACATTACTTTGTATCTCAAAGTAGAGACATCTATGGGCCATTTGCTTTTATGTCCTAGCTCTCACATCCCACCTTCACCACACAAAAGATTTGCAATGCTTTATAAAACAAACATATACTAAACAAGACAGTTAAGATAACAACCAGAGATAGCGTCAGAGGCCTCACGGAGAAAGAAGGGTGCGGATTATGCCAGGAATCTGTTGTAAGAGGGTTAATGATTGAGTTCTTCATTCAATTCTGAGCCTCCTGGCAACCAAAGCATAAAGGGAAACATATCTGACACCTATTTGTTGACTATATGCACAAATAATTTCTCTCTACCCTTGGAGCTGGTTGCCTGGAGAACCAGGATCAAGCCTCAGAGGACTTGTGCATTCCAACTCTCAGGTGGTCCATAGACATCTCTACTTTGAAACAGACAGACTTTCTGTGCTTGTAATAAAGGCCACAGGGGCAGGAGGGAGAAGATGGGATGTGGCGGGACCAAATGAACTTCCACTGGGGAGGCAGAGAGGGAGAACATGGGCTGGTGTCCTTCACTGAGTCCATCTCAGCATGCATTCTAAAGCTAGGCCAGGTAAAGCCCCTGTAGCCTTTTCTGAAGACTGCCCTGGTTCTACCTGCTCAGCAAAGGGCTTGGGGGAAGAGTGGTCGGCAGGCCTCATGGAGGATTCCAAGCTGCTGGCAATTCTCCCTCTCAGCTGGCTCCTCTGAGTCTGCACATGCAGAGATTAGGCTTGTTGCAAACCCAGCAGTGAACTGCAAACCCAAAAGGAGGGGGCAGAATGCAGCCCAGGAGCCTGCAGCTCTGTTTTCACCCTTGGCAGGGTGCCAGGATCCTGGAATGCCCAGCAGCTGGTGTAGCCAGGGGACTGGTTTCCCTAGAGGCTGGTACCATGAGAATCTAGATTTACTCTGGTACCTACCACAGCATCCTCTGCTGTCCCCATTGATACCAAAAGGACATGAAGCTAGGGCGCTGGCCCAAGCTGCATGCTGACCTGGGCTGGGAATCCCAGGCCCTGGGTCTCAGTTCTTGCTGTGCTGTCAATTTTTTAGGTGACCCTAATAAAGCTCCTGCCCTGCCCTCAGTTTCTCTTTCCCATAAAATAAAAGATCCAACTAATAGTCCTTAACAGTAAACCATGTGGGAGGTAGGCAAGGGCTTGAAATTATTACAGGGAGTTATTGAATTTATATTCTTAGCAAGTATGCCTACAGAGAATATAAATTATATGCCTCGAACTTATATGTATAAGACAGATTTGCAAATGAATAGTTTTGTGA